TAGCTCTTGACTATATACGTGATTTTTCAAGAGACTGGCCGTTTATTGGTTTTCGATTTCGATTAAGCAAAAAAATAGTCGACACGTGAAAATACATTCTATATAAACTTTCGCTGAGTTTCTAGGTTAAGGTTGACATCCGTATAGATCAGATTTCTTTACTTAATCCTATTTACTATCAAACATAAAGTTGTATAGAAATGTGCCCTTAACGTCTCAAGATACGATTTATTGTCCTTTTTTTATTGTAGATGATGTTTCGGATATTGATTCCCGGAGTTTTCTCAGATAAAAAGTCGACAAGTCTTCAAATTAAATAGGTAAATCCGTTTGATTACAGTAATTCTTTTATGAAGTTTATCGACAACATTTGTGGTGTTTCTAAATGATTGATGGCTTGGAAAGAAAACTATCTAATATTGAGACAGGATCCTGTCTAGTTTACTGTATTAAAATGATGTGCAACAATAAACATATAGGTACACACGTGAAAGGAAAAGAAAAAGTTTTCGTTTCCATTATGCATCATCCAGCTAAATGAGTAATAGCTAGCTCAGAAAAATCTTTTCTACTTTGGGGATTCATTTTAAGATTGTAAATGGAAAATGGGAAAGCGTCGACGTGTTTTAGCAAAAGTACATATTCATTAAAATCTCAGTTTTCGATCTACCCAATTCCATTTAATGAGCCGTTTTCGAAGTGTTAATCAACCAAATGGGTATTTTAATGAGGAGGATCTGCTTTGATAAAAAAAACTCGGATCTTTGCATCGCACCCGCCGGATTGGTCGTGCAGCAAACGTTGATTGCGCACCACACAACATAATGAAAGAAATTACTCAAGAGACAAGTGTATGTAAATGCGAGAACTTCTACCTAAAATGCTCCGACGAATGTCCCTAACCATCATGTCTCACGTGCAGTGAGAGGTGCGATACGAATAAATTAGATCAACACAGGAATCACACGGGAATAATTTGCAATATAATCTGGGATCGCAATAGGTTGAATACGTCGTAACGATAAAGTACCTATCGATCGTTAGAAACCAGCATTTACCGCAAATCGTGAAATCCAGTAGTCCACTTCGCTCCAGCTACGAGTTCCTGCGGAGAAAGCTGCATCTTCGAACGTTGTCCACCCTTCGCATCAACGAATCAGGTCTGAAAGACACGTGGAATTTTCTAAAAAGTTTGCCAACTACACAGCAATTGAATTCTAACCTCATAACATAACCATCATCAGCGAAAAATATAAGAGTGATACTCTAAACCTAAAGGAACGGGATAGGTTCTAGACTGATGAAGACAAGTATCCAACTCTCGATGAATTTCTCAACTTTCCTCAGAACAGAGCCACAATCCTGGAAAGTATTGAGATCAGGGAGAGCTAAGCTAAGTAATGGAAACGGCATTCCAAAACTCGGCTTTAAGAAGCAAGCAATCAGTTCCGAAGTGCTATTCATGGACCACATACAATGCAACGGTGTACTAATTTCTTGATCATGTCGATCGATAACAGAATTGCCCATGTGAAGAATGTTTCCCTGTAAATCAATTGCTTGAATTCCAACCATGAAGCAAAGGACTGCTCAAGTCGCAATTGCTAGGTTTGCCGGAAGAAACATAACTTCTCCACCTGCTGCAGCGCAAGCACAAGTGAGTAGCAATATAGCTTGTAGCATCAGCCAGGTACTATCGCAAACATGGAACTGTAAACTGAAGAGCTCTGTTAAATTCAGGATCCCAAATCAATTTTC